ATTTCGAGATAGAGATAGGTAGCTTAAAGTCAATTTTCTTAAGGTGGTTCTCTAATTGTTTAACATTCCATTAAGGCCCATCATCTCGGGTATAGGCTCATTCGCTAGGTATTTAACTAAATTTCTAACTCCAATTCTGGGCATAACTTCGAATTCAGGCTCTTTTTAAATAAGTTGAGAAATATTGATATAGATAACAAATTACTAGCTAGCTTAGACATCAAATCTTTATATACTAATATACCTGTTGATAAATGCATTAAACAATTAGAGAACCACCTTAAGAAAATTGACTTTTGTTACCTATTCTCTATCTCGAAATGCATCAAATTATGCATCCTTTGCACTTCACATTGTTTCTTCCAATATAATAATATTTATTATAAACAAAAATTTGGTTTACTGATGGGGAGTCCTCTCTCTGGATTCCTAGCATGCATATTTCTAGAATTTCTTGAATCTGGACCTTTTAAAGATGTCATTCCACCTGATACACATTACTTTCGATACATCGATGACATTTTATTTATCTACCCACATAAGCATGATTTAAACGAGATTACTGATAGATTAAATAGAATAGAACCTACTATTGAATTTACCTATGAACTTGAATCTAATAATTCCTTACCTTTTTAGACATATTACTCATTAAAAATAAAAATAAATTAGAATTCAAAGTATATCGTAAACCTACATGTAAAAAATGACTATTTACATTTTTACTCTCACCATGATACTAACACTAAGAGGGGTATTGTTATTGGATTCTATTTGAGGGCTCTTCGCATCTGTTCATCAAAATATTTAAATGATGAATTTACATATATTGAGGATACCTTTTTCAAATCTTTCGTATCCGAGACAATTATTACAGAGAGCTAAAAATAAAGCGTTGAAAATTCACTCATCAGCGCAAAATGACACCTCAAAGGCCACTACAATTAGATCAATGAAAGATACAATTTCAGATACCTCTGATAATATTTCGTTTGGTCGCATCTTTTACCAAATAACCATTTGACCGAACGTATCTCTCATAATCTAAATGCATTAAAAATTAGAACTACTATATTACCTACTAGGACTATCCGTAGTTTATTAAATAGCACCAGCAGACAACATATTACATCCGATGCTTGCATCTATCAAATATCATGCAAAATTGTGACCTAAAATATGTGGGTGAAACAGGTAGGTCCTTAAAATCTCGTGTTTTCGAACATAAACGAGATATTCGTCTCGGTATTTAATAATGCTTTAGTTGTACACACAACTAAAGCAGATCATAATTTCGATTTCGATTCCGTGAAAGTATTAAAATATTTTCATAATAAAATCTCAGGAGGCAGGTATAATATCCATCTCACGCACGGTGAATACTAGACCTGGTTTCTTTAATATTTCCCTTTTTAGCGAGATTGATGCTCGACAAGCATACACATAAGAATTTTGGAACCTAATAGAATTCTTTTCATTTTCTTTTTTTTTTTCATTTCAAAATAATCACAAACTTTTAGGAATACGTTATGAAAGCGTCGCCCATGTGACGACAGCGTGACCATGTTAGACGGAAGGCTGATCATTTTAAAAATTTTCAGTTATCTGTTCTGAATAAGACTTGTGTTTTTATGTCCATCGTATTTGTCATATTGAACTGAATTGTATTTTGATGAATATTGTCTTGAAAAAGGTTTAATAAACCGAAACGTCAGACGTCGACATTTCTTTCATTTAACTACATTTAAGGATTTTTGTTTGTTTTTTCAAAATTTCTTCATTCTGTCGGATTTATATCCATTTACACTTGCTTATATATATATATATATATATATATATATATGTGTGTGTGTGTGTGTGTGTGGATATATATATATATATATATATATATAAACACTCTGCTTTGTTATTTTCGCTAAGAAGGTGTGAAACCCTAACATATATGTACCATTCGTGATACACGCTTACGCGATCATGTATCTTTCGATACATGACTGACGCGGCAGATTTTTTCCACAGTAGCTTGCCAATCTTTTCTATAGAACCCAGTCTGTCCTGCTATTTACCCATAGAAGAGGATTCATACCTTTCCCAAAGGTATTAGCACGTAAGTGAATGTCATGGATTCGACTGGATTTCGAACTCGGATCTCCGATTCCTTAAATCCGAGCAGCTATCCATTACTCCACCGTTTATAGTGTGTTTAACAACTTTGCTGATTATCGAGTATTTTGCTGTGGATCGCTTTCCACAAATGACTTCAGAACATCGTCATCGAAGCCTGATATTCATCTTCCATCGACTTTTCTCCAGAACGAAAATTGGCAAACTAATCTCGTACTTGCTGGTCAGTTATGACTATTTGCCTATAAATGCAACATATTTTTCTAAATGTGTAGTAAAAACAGAACCAGTGAATAAACTTATACCAAAGCTTTATTGCACTTTACTCTGACTACTCGTCTACTAACGGCTATTACAGTGTGCTTTTTATACCTCCTAGATCTTAAGGGGAGGTAACTGATGATTTATCAATGCAGCATGATTCCCTCGCTTGACTACGGTCAAATTCCACTGAAAACTGCAATCCTCATCGAGCCTGGTCTGTACTTAGATGAGGGACCGCTTAAGAACACTAGGTAATGTAAGTAACCGCCGAGATTCCAAATTATGTTTCAGCTATAAATAACTCATAAAGAGTTGATAAATCGCAAAAAAAAACAAACAAATCGGTCATGTAATCAACCCTCGCTTGAACTCTCTTAACAATATGTGACGTAAATTCACTTTTAATCTGTCCATCAATGAGATTAAGAAATTTATTCTTTAATCCACTGTATAAACTGTTACTGCTATGAAAAAACTAAAGTATGCCGGTGTACTCCAAATTTATTCTTCACTGCCACATCTAATAAGTAGTTAGGATGGTACATTCGCAATTACAATTGGTTCCCCAAAACGGAAATGACTTATGGTATAATACGATGATCAGGTGCTACTCATTTTTCGAGCGCACCCGTCTACCAGAGCGGCTAGCCAAACCTAATTGCAGACACCTGCCCCAAACCACAGAACTCACCTGTGGTCTATACTGCAACTATGCTGAGCAGACCTTAGTTACAGTTTTGGGGGAAAGAGCGCGTAAACTGGTGTGATCAACTTTTGGAAAGTGTCTGAAAACCATACCACGGGTTGTCCCAAGTCATGTAAGTGAAACCGGATAGACATAAGTTTTTGGAAGCCGTCGATGGCTGTGCTAATCACAAGTCATCATGATCGAGGGTTTAAGCGTACTGGCCTTGTTCAATAAATTGATCACGCCAGATTATGCGTTCTCTCCCCGAAATTGTAACTAAGATCCGTTCAGCTGCAGTATAAACCACAGTTGGGCTCGGAAATGACTAGAAGCCTGTTGCTTATGTGCCTATGAGTACGTGGCTGACACGTAATCCTTCTTTAATTACGTAATCATACATATCCTCAAAGAAACACACACATATACGCATCTATGAATACGTATTTGTATGAGAGCTTTCATGATTTGTGAAACATGCAAGTTGTATTTGCGTTCGCGTTGTAGACAATATTGTCTAATGCTAATGTATTTTGCGTTCTGTTTAACGCGTAACTATATTTAAAGGTGGAAATACATTTTTTCGAATAGATACCTCTCTTAATATACTGCGTGTGTCTGTATGTACGTTTGCTTGCATATGCTTGTAAGCAGTGTTCTCTTAAAAGAAGAAAAGAATATATATATAAATGGATGGGTTTAAATACCATGACACCATCTGTAGGAAACTTCACCTTTATAACCTATGTGTGCGTGTGTATGTATGTATGTGTGTGCGTGCGCACGTTCTATTATAATTGTGTTTGTCCCTCCCTTCGTTAGTTCGCACGACCACTACGTCCTGCCAATACCTCATAAATAATGGACTATTCCTTCCCTTCGTGATCTCGCACGACCATTACGCCCTGCCAATACCTCATAAATAATGGACTATTCCGTTTTGATTGCGTGGAGAGGTGGGAGGGGGAGACACTACTTGGTTCCAGTGAAAGAAAGAAAGAAAGAAAGAAAGAAAGAAAGAAAGAAAGAAAGAAAGAAAGAAAGAAATGGAGAGAATTAGATTAAGCTGATAAGCACAGATACTAGACTTTGATCTTAACCAAAAGGCCGAGAAGAGATTTCATTTTTTTGGCGCCCCACGCTGACAGGATGTGACACAAGGTCAGTTTAATGTGGAGAGCATGCACGCATTCACCGCCGCCTCCCCTCTCCACATTTAGTGCAGTGAGTGAAGTACTACCAGGGGCGGCTGTTTTCCAAGACCAGACATCTCTCAATAATATTTTCAGTTGCGTTCTATTCGATACGACTGAGAAATGAAATGTAGTTTATCCACGCGAGGGTAGATAATAAACTTTGATCCCAGCCAAAAGGCCAAGAAGCGATTCTATTTTCTTGCAGCTCCACACTGGCTAGATGTGACACAAGGTCAGTTTAATGTGGGGAGCCCAAGAAGTGATGGCGACCACGATAAACACCCCAATTTTGCAGACGCACAGTATCGAACGACAGAAATTGAGTAAAGCAATCGCTAAAAATCCAGTTACCATAAATAAAATAAGATCGTCTGCTGAATTATTTTAAAATTATTATTAAGAAGATTTTTGTAAGACGGGGATTTGGCTAGTAGAAAATGAGTTTCGTTATATAGTTAAATATATTTGTTGTGTATGGGTTTGTGTCAAACGACGCATGTCTATTGTTTTGTATACTATAATTGTTAATATCTTTATTTGCGTATATTAGTGTATGCAAAAAAAGGAAATAAAACTGTGTATAAAAGATTGTATAAATGGTTGAAGTTTTTGTTTGTAAAAGTAAGTGTGTGACTGAAATGTGTATGCGTCTATTTTAGGTAAGAGTGTGTTAATATGTTTGCCCTTGTGTGAGAATGTCGTTAAGCGGTTTCACTGACGTCATAATGACGTCATTGCAACTTTAGCACATCATGGGAGAAGTAGAGAAAGAGAAAGATAGAATGAATAAAAAGAAATGGAGAAATAGAGGGTGAGATAGGAGAACGGGAAGTGGATGAAAAAAAATGTGAGGAGAAGAGGCGGTGGTAGTGGTAGTGGCGATGGCGGCAATGATATTTGTGTGCATTAGTTTGAATTGTACATGAACATGATTGCACCTTTCCTTGCAATACTAGATAGATAGATAGATAGATAGATAGATAGATAGATAGGAACAGACGAATAAATATACTTAGATAGATAGATAGATAGATAGATAGATAGGTAAATGTAGATACGAACAGAATTAGATAGCTAGCTAGATAGATAGCTAGCTAGCTAGCTAGATAGATAGATAGATAGATAGATAGATAGATATGAACAGACTTAGGTAAATGTAGACACAAACAGAATGAGATAGATAGATAGATAGATAGATAGATAGATAGATATGAACAGACTTAGGTAAATGTAGACACAAACAGAATGAGATAGATAGATAGATAGATAGATAGATAGATAGATATGAACAGACTTAGGTAAATGTAGACACAAACAGAATGAGATAGATAGATAGATAGATAGATAGATAGATATGAACAGACTTAGGTAAATGTAGACACAAACAGAATGAGATAGATAGATAGATAGATAGATAGATAGATATGAACAGACTTAGGTAAATGTAGACACAAACAGAATGAGATAGATAGATAGATATAGATAGATAGATAGATATGAACAGACTTAGGTAAATGTAGACACAAACAGAATGAGATAGATAGATAGATAGATAGATAGATATGATATGAACAGACTTAGGTAAATGTAGACACAAACAGAATGAGATAGATAGATAGATAGATAGATAGATAGATAATGAACAGACTTAGGTAAATGTAGACACAAACAGAATGAGATAGATAGATAGATAGATAGATAGATAGATATGAACAGACTTAGGTAAATGTAGACACAAACAGAATGAGATAGATAGATAGATAGATAGATAGATAGATTAGATAAATGAACAGACTTGAGATAGATAAAGATAGATGTAGACACAAACAGAATGAGATAGATAGATAGATAGATAGATAGATAGATAGATAGATAGATATGAACAGACTTAGGTAAATGTAGACACAAACAGAATGAGATAGATAGATAGATAGATAGATAGATAGATACAGACTTAGGTAAATGTAGACACAAACAGAATGAGATAGATAGATAGATAGATAGATAGATAGATAGATAGATAGAACAGACTTAGGTAAATGTAGACACAAACAGAATTAGATAGATAAATGATAGACACAAACAGAAATGAGATGAGATAGATAGATAGATAGATAGATAGATAGATAGATAGATATGAACAGACTTAGGTAAATGTAGACACAAACAGAATGAGATAGATAGATAGATAGATAGATAGATAGATAGATAGATATGAACAGACTTAGGTAAATGTAGACACAAACAGAATGAGATAGATAGATAGATAGATAGATAGATAGATAGATAGATAGATAGATATGAACAGACTTAGATATGAAGATAGATAGATAGATAGATAGATAGATATGAACTGACTTAGGTAGATGTCTAGATACGAACAGAATGAGATAGATAGATAGATAGATAATGAACAAACTTAGATAGGTCGCTGAGCATATGTAATTCATAGAATTTAATTTTTCAAGTCCTATTAAATTACTTTTACATATTTTTACTATTACTATTAATTATCAAATACTTAACATTACATTTTATGCACAGACCTTTTTCCTACATAGAAAAACGTCTTTTTTGTTTCTGATCTTACGTATAAAAGTAAACATTTTTCATTAAAAAAGAAAGTAATATTTCAATGTTATTTTCTTGTTCTTTCTTCATTTCCTTTGAAAGAATCATAAATAAAATGTTTGTGTTCTATAATATTTTTCATTTTATTTAAAAAATGTACTTCTTTTTTTTAATTTAGCTCCCGTGCAGTTTTCTTTTTTATCCTAACTAATTCAATTAATAAAAGAGATGATCGTTAAACTCAATCGGCAATTTTCGTCGCTGTCTTCATTCATTAACTTATAATACGTGCATGCGTGTCTATGTGCGTGTAACATGTGTTTCTTCTGAGTTTGTGCAACTAATATCGTAGAAAGACTTACAACTTGAAGAAAGAAAGACGGAAGTATGGATCTTGCATTTGTGATATTTTGTGGTTTATTATGTTTAACGTAAAAGAAGATTTGAGTACACAATAAAAAGGGTTATCTCGTATTTCGTTCCTGTTTCCCCCTCCTACTTTCTTTTTAACTTCTTTTCTCCCTACCCCTTTATCGGAAGAGACGAGGGTGGTGCGTGCGCGTGGAGGTCTCCAGGTGATTTGATCTATACTCTCTCCAGTTGCGAAATTCAATGGGTAGTTTTTTTTTAACTCCCTCCCACGCATCCATCATTGCATGAAATGAGAATAGCTGAACAAAGTTATAAATAAGTGTCGTGGATCATTTGGTAAAAGTGGTTGGAGTTTCTGTTTAACTGTTTGTTGTTTTTTAGTTTAGTTCGACGTTAGGCAAACGCAAAACGATCCAGTAAAAAATAATACACACGGTGAGAGAGTTATTAAAAATCAAACTTATATCGCGGCTAGTCTGAGTACTGAAAAGAAAAAAGAAAAATCGAACAGTTTGTCAGATAAAAAAAGCAAGTTTTCCGCTTTAAGAACTTACGGTCAAGCTGAATTGAAAAACAAAATTATACTTTTTATTTAGATTGGATGGGTTCGTTCTGCAGCTTCTTTTTTTTTTCTGCAAAATAAATTCATCTTCTTAAGCTTTAAAAACTAAGTTTGAATCCAATACAAACAAAGAAAGGGATGTGAGTGGGACAATAGACAAAAGTTTTTTTTTAAAAAAGTCAAAACCGCCAACGCACCTTTTTTTTTTCTTTTTGCTCTGGATTGGTTAGAAAAGGAAAAGAGGGTCTGAAACTATGTTTAGGAATCAACTTTAAATCTTAACAAAACAAAAAACAGACATAGAAACTTTCTTTGATTCGACCAAACAAAATTACCCCCAAAATTTTTTAAAAAAACTAAAGAAAGAGAAAATAAAAAGTAAACTATTTCCTCAAACTCGACTCAATAAATAAAATTCGTACACATTAAAACGTTTGCATTAATTTGTACGATTCAGAAACCAAAGATCACAAAAATGTGGTTATGGTAATTTACTAAAAAAGGAAATACACGTTGTTAATTGATATCTATTTGTGAATCGCATTCACGTTTCTTTTCTTTCTTTTTTTAGTTTATAGTTACAAAAAAAATAAAAAGAACGTTTGTTTGACACAGACAATAAAGAGAGCTTTTTTTTGTTTTTGTTTATAAAGACAAATTTAAATTACAACAGTGACTAATGAATGTAAACGACCTTTATACTTTTCAAATTTATTTCTTCAATCTCCATTCTCTTTTTTCGATTTTCACGCATTATTAATTTTTTTACCCAATCGAGAAAAAAGAAAAAGAAAGAAAGAAGTGAAATAAGAAGGGAAATCTGTTTACTGTCAGCTCAAAATAAAAGTGAAACAAAGATCAATAAAAATTTCATTCAGTGCTCTAAAAAAGTTTTCTTTTTCTGCTAAAATTTAAAATGAATCAAGAAAATAAATTTAATTATTTAAAAAAAAAAAAATAACGCAAAAATTTTTGTCATCAACTTGGTTTTGTTCTAAACACAACGTTTCGACCGAGTACCCTCTGATTATCATCAGGTGTCCATTGCTTGGCTGATATGGGATATTTGTTTATAACTGTTATATTTTGCCCCTTGTTTCATTTTTCGTTGCTTCTGAATCAGTGTTTCACTACCTGATCCGGGGACTGAACTCACAGCCACTAGATATGACACTAAAATAACTCTCACTCCACCTGTTTTTGGAGCCTTCCTTTAGTTTACTTCTTTTATTCAATGTCAGATTTTTTTAACATTTGGTTATGATGGTGAGTTCGTAGTAAATTAATAAAAATTTTAAACTATGTTTTGTTCGTTGATCGAAAGAAAGCGTGTTCGATGATGGCTGAATGCTAAAAAAAAAGCTTTCTTTAAAAAATAAATGACAAAAGATAGAAAGAGAACAACAGTGTCCAAAAAAAATAGCCGAGATCTCTAAAAAAAGATAACAAACTAGTAAGAAAATCATTTACAAACATCACTAGTTAAAGTAAAGTTTTAAAAACTTTTCTCTGTAAAAGAAATTTTATGTAGGTGTTGTAGTCGTACACAAAATTGGATCAACTTTAGGAGTAGTATTTAAAAAAAAGAGAGAGAGAGTGACAAGAGAAAGAGAGAGGGAATGTAAATGTCTCTCTCTCTCTCACCATTTTCTGTGTATGTGTGTGTGTGAGAGAGAGAGAGAGAGAAAGAGAAGTAAAAACTGATTCAAAACTCTACGAGTTCTCTTGTAAAGGTTCATTCTCCTCAGCCATTCATTCATTCATACAATTTCCCCTTCAACTCATTGAGTGTCTCTGCCTCCAACTACAACTGAAATACTACTTCTACTACTACAACTTAACTTTCCATTTGACTTTCCATTATGATTTGATTTAGCCTGAAACATTTACATATATATTCGTTCCGCTTTTCTTTTTTTTCTCTCTATCTTGTTTCTACCTTTCCATTATTGTTCTTTATTCTCGCATTTCATTCAGCGCGCATTACGCTTCTCAACCGTCTTTTGCAGTTGGCGCCCACTCGTTATATCCTGCGAATACCCTCTCTTAAACTTTTTCGTTGTCTTTTAAATATGTACTTCTTTCTTTAATTTTTTTCTCGTTTTTCTTATTTAAAAAAAATTCTTGCTCGCCTCCCGCCACGTTTCCTACTACTTTATTACGTATTTATTTTCTTCTCTCTTACAGAACATTTTACGTCTGTCTTTTCTTTCTCACTATTCTTTTTCCTCCTACTACGCCATCGTTATACGTACAGTCCCTCATTTGTTAAAGCTCACCTCCTGCTCATTTACTCTCGTCCCTCTGTCATTAAGAATACCTGCTACTACTTCTCCCGCAACCGGCAATCTTCACTCGAGTACCAACAGCAGCAGGAGTAGCATGTGTAAAAACGAGTGTGTGTGTAGGCTTGCAGCCTCATCATCTTCCTTGACCACTACTTCAGCTGTAACAGCATTATTATTATCATCATCATCATTTTCATCGTCATTGCTATCCTCTTCATCGTCCTGAGATGTTGTTATCCTAGCAATCTCGGTCGGTCGTGCCTTTCCATCGTCCCCGTGTGGCCGGTAGGTGCCCCGGGGGTGAACCGACATGGTCATGGCTCACCCGAACCCTTCCACCAAACAACAGCACCCCATCCGCGTTGGATTTTACGATATTGATAGAACCATTGGTAAAGGAAACTTCGCCGTGGTCAAATTAGCCAGACATCGCTACACAAAGTCAGAGGTTTGTACTTAAATAAGCTTCATTTTTGTTCTTTTATTCCCGTGTTATGTTTTTTCTTCTTTTTTTTTTTAAAAAAAGAAGAAAAAGAAAAATTAAAGATCTACCCTGAAGCAAAACGTCAACGAGTTTTCTTTACGGAAGACCATAAGAAATATATCATTACACATCTTCCTCTCCTGACTGTCGTGTCTTCTTATTTTAATTCATTTTATTAATGAGATATTTATTTACAAGATAACAAGACTAAATAGTATATTTTACGTTCATTCATTTTTTTTAAATTATTTTTTATATAAATTTTTGTTTTTAAGCAGTACGATATTTTGTATTATGGCTAAATTGGGCATCCGTATTAGGTGAAATAGGTCAATCGAACTTTCTTTATTCGTACTTTATTTTTCAAACTACGAATTTAGTTTAAGCTATAAAATTTAATTTACAAGAATTCTCATTGTTTTATTACTCTTACCATGCTCCTCTAAGAGGATGTTAAACTTGATTTTCCATTTAATTTGTTTTGTGTATTTTAATGCTTAACTTTAAGAACTTAAAGCCCTTGTTTAACTTTATTTATTCGGCAGCCAATGGGTTGAAAATGTCCTTTATTTGCTTACAATTCATGCACCTTATTTTATATAATTATTACACGTGATAGAAATTAAAAAATAATAAACAAAATACTTTCTCGTGTGTTGAAATATATGAATTTTGCAGTGATCATCTTAATTTAAGTTTTAAGCTTCTTTTTTTTTTTACTTTAGTAAAACTAAAAGAAGAGAACTGTCCGTTTATTTGGTAAACAAAACACCACAACAATAATAAAATTGTAGCGATCTAAGAAACAATATTCAATGTTTATGCTGATTTTACAAGTAAATACCAAAACTTTTTATTTAGCTAAATCACTTTATTTACCATTAATTGACTCGTAATTATGTTGACAAATCAATTTTTATTATAACTTACTTTTAAAATTATGGTATAGTCGTCTAAAAAAAACAAAAAAAAACACTTGTACAATTTTTTAACCGTTTACTTTTTAAATTAATTAGTTTGTTTTAGTGTTTAATTTAGCATTTGAGTAAATCTATTTTACTCTAAAAATGGTTTTAACACTTTCTTGTGCAATTGTTTATTTTTTAAAAAGTTGACGTAGCACAAATTAATAATGTAATAATATTCCTTACATCATAATTCTGAATTTGCCAA